CTATATAAATTTCTATACGAAGAAGAAAAGACGGCAAAAAATAGGTAAATGTGTCTTGTTGCGGAAACAAAATGGAATTTGAAAGGGCAAACGGTGAATTAGCATAACTCGTTGATATTGTAAAAAAACCTTTTTTTAAGACTACAAAATAAACAATGAACAAAACAAATTAAATTGCACGTTTGTTCGAATTCTTCTTTGTTTGTTTTTGACATTAAATCATATTTAAATTGAACTAAATTACCTAATTTTATTTGCTAAAAATGTTTCCTTCTTCTTGTCAAAAAAAGTTCTAAAAAGAGCAAAAAAAAAAAGCAAATAAAATTCAATTATTTGAATACATCTACTTTTTTTTTTTTTTCTGTTTTCTTCTCTCCATGGTAAAACCCTTTTGTTAGCCTTTTGAAATTCAACGTCGCCATTCACACAAATATCATCAACAGTAAAGGGGGGGGGGGGGAAAAAAAAAATAGAACCTTCTTTTATTCTGCCAACTACTCATTCAACTTTGGGTACACAGCTGCACTGACTTTTAAAATACACCATATGGATAATCCGTCTTTGTCCCTTTTTTTGTTACCCCTATTCCTAAACTAAACCCAAATATTCCACCAAATTAGCCAATAATCAATACTGAAAATAACAAATGTCTGTTTCAATCACAAAAAAATTATTTTTGAATAAAAGAAAACAAAAAAAAAAATCGCCGACAGCAGTCGGGAAACACCCATTCCGGGGAAACCAATTGACAATACCCAATGACCAATGCTGCCAACCCCTTCACCTACTTTTTATTTGGTTCCCCTAAGTTGTGCCTTCCACTGAAACAACTAAACTAACCTTATAAAACCAACTGACAGCCATAACTGATGAACAGAAAAACAAAAGAAATAAATAAATTTCACTCCAAACTCGGTTTATTCCAAAGAATAAAAAAATAGCAGCAATTGCACCAACCAATGCAACTTTTGTGCGCAACAACTACGAACCTTCACCAACCAAAATAACAAATATTAATGAATGAAACACATTGCCTGTAAAATTTGTCATCCCACAATTAACCGTCATTAACAAATAAATCTAACAAGAAACTTATCTTGTTCGAGAGCATACAATTTTAGTGCGAATAACAAGTTTTTCTTAAAACAATTAATTACAACTCCTTTTTCCCAATTTTCTCCTTTTTATTCTTCCACCAAATTTAAATACAACTACAATTAACCTAAAAATAAATTAATTTTAAAGATAAAAACAATACATTAAAACAGTATTGTGAAATTCAAAAGAAATTTTTTACTTTTACTTTAATAAAGAAATTTATTACAGCTAACTAATGTATAATCATTTCACAGAAGTCTCTACAAGTCAATATCAGCTCCACAAGTATTAGCTCAACAACTAATACCTAAATCCATCCAGTAACGGCATTACCGACAAACACTTAACCTCTGCTTATTCTCCAATTTAAAGGGTTGTAACAAATTCATTCATTTCAGCTCTGATTACATTTCTGAGATATTCAAATACTGCAATACTTTTTGCACTCGACAAAAAAAAAGACAAAAACACCATAACATCTAGAAATGAATGATTATTGTTTTCATATAACACAAAACACTCATTCTAACAGAAGTCAAACAAAAAAAGCTTAGCAGTTTAAGCGGTGGACAGTTTAAACCGCAATATATATATAAAAGGTATGAATTAAGTGTAATACTACTAAAATAACAAAAATAATTGACGAATAATTTCGGCTCTTGGAATGCAACTCATAATCAAATGCTTCAAAAATTATCAGGCTTTCTTAATCCGTTTTCACACTAGAATAAATAAAACGTACAAAACGGTGGGAAGCAAAGAAAGAAACACTTCCTAACGACAAGAAGAAGACGTAACACAACATGGACAGATAAGAAAAATACTGTATAGTTTGCTGTAATCCTGACATTCCTGAACGGTATTCGTAAAAGAACGCCCCGTAGAAGAAAACGAAAAAACCGACAGCTCTGAAAAAAGTAAAGCATAAAAAGTCATGAGGAAACTGCAGATAAAGCGAAATATACTCTCAATATCTTAAATTGAACTGCCAAAAAAAGAAGGCTACTTCAAGTATATAAAACTAATATACCCTCCAACAAAAACAGATCTCCACCACCATCTATAATCCTCTGCATTTAACTGGAAATAAGTTAATGCTGCCGACGTTGCAGCCACAACCGCCATAAGAAGACAGAGAATGATGAACAAAATATGGCATAAAGTGTAAGTCTCACGTCCCCACAATGTCGAGAACAAGTAATTTAACTCCACCGCGATTGAACTGAAGAAAAAATCCTATGCTATGCTAATTACAGAGAACTAAGATTATATCAAATCGAATAATAAACAGAAAGTTAGCCTTCACTAACAAAACTGCAAGTATTGTACTACAGATCATTAAAAGAAAATCTACCTGAACGCCACAATCCCACTTAAAAATGAGAAACAAATAGTTGAATGGTAAAATGGCAATAAAGGTAATTCCCGCGGAACGTTACGAGTTCGGCATGGTGCCGAGTATCTTGACGTAACATTTTTGCCTATAGCTGCGCCAACAACTGTTAGTGGAAAACCAACGAAAAGCCAAAGAATGCCGAGCAGTATTACTGTAGTATACGGTAAAGCCTGTGTTGAACCACTAATCCAGGAGACTGAATTATTGATAGCCCATACAAAAAACATGGGAACATTAAATAATCCGGTGGTAATAACAACATTCTGAATCCATTTTTCGCCCTCCAGCTGCCGATACGTTCGGGCAGAAACAAATCCAGCAATCCCTATAGGCTTTTAAAGTGCATAAGTTCTTTCCAAATTAAGACCAAAAAAACGATATTATAAGTCGTTAAACGTCAGAGCAAAATTGAAGCGAAATAATCATTCGCATAAATAAAAAAGCTGAACAATTAGGAATTGAAAAAAACATTTTAACATCAAAAATGATCCAGTTTTGTTGAACCTATAAACAGATGCAAGATACCTGAAGTAAATGCATAAAGCACTACAGCAATCGTGTTGAAGGAACTGTGGTGGCGCACACTTACTATGTCAGTTGAACCAACAATCAAAATTATGCTGATTAAGAAAATAAATTGCGTCCCAACTCCTAACAACAATCACAGAGAATCAAACTGTAGCAGTTTTAGAACCGAAAATATTTTAAAAAGTTTTGACCAGTAAAGAAAAAGATCAAAATGTAACCTATGATTGCAGAAAAAAAATTTGACCGTGGAGGTTTTCGGAATACATCCATTGAGACTGTTTTCCATCCGTTCTCAAGTACTATCATGTCGATGTCACTAGAGGCCTCATTATACCTATTCAAATCATGCCTCACCTAAATCAAAAAAACGTTTTTCAGAAGTGTAATGTAGTGAATCAGCTTAAGAAAACAATACCAAAAAGGCTATTAACAAAAAAAGTTTATTGCACAAGTCTTTCCAATTGACAAACGTATAAGACAAAGCAAAATTAGGTTGCGTAAAATACAAAGTCGACTTACCACAGAAAGTAGAATTAGTGAAACAAAAAATATTAGTAGAAGAACAAGAAGAGCAGAATTGATCACTGATATCCACTGCACTTGAACGGATTTAGGTGTGAAAAAGTCATTGTCTCTATTGCTTCCACATGAGGTTTCTCTAAAGCTCAATAACAAAAATACTTAAAAAGCTACTAAAATTCTTCTTTCAAATGCTGGAAGACAATCATAAATAAACTAAAAAATGATAATTTGCCAAAAAAAAGTTACGTTAATTTTAACTAATGTACGCTCCAAAACCCTTACCAATGTGATGAAAAAACTTATAATGAAAAAGAAAAACCAACTTCGTAGGAATCCAAACAACACTGTAAAGTAACTCAAAGTTACTGCTATCAAACGCACTAAGATCTACCGCAGAACTAGAATCCTTTTCCAAAGTTGCACAAATTATCTGAAACTTTGATTAAATTATTGCATAAAGTTCAGGTTTTGGTATACAGTATTTATGCATACCTATATACAACAATAAAACTCATAGTCATAAGCACTAAGAAAATCACCTGCTTGGTTCTCTCGTTATAATGCAAGTTGAACAAGAAATGTCGATATAAAAAGACAAGATGTTTATGTGGAAAAGTTTCCACCTCCTGAACTACTCCAATAAAATTCCGTAGACGAAAGTCATCTAAAATCGTAGTTATATTAAAAAATTGCATTTTCAATAAACATGCAAACAAAAAACGAGAAATCCACAAAGATATCTCGTCAAAGATTTAAAAATTCTTGAACCTTAGACATTTACCTCAGCAGTTATTTCATCAAAACACTCTTGGTTAGAAGCAAAGTGCATGCAAAATTAAAACAACTATTTTACAAATTTTCATTATTGAAACCGAAATAATCTTAATTATTATGCCAATCGAGGTATATCGTCTTATTTTATTGAAATAAACATATTAAAAAAAGATTACTTTTATTTAAAAATTAAAAAGTAAAGAAGAAAACTATTCAACTGACCGATTATGAATTCAAAATAAAACTCCTCCTCAACAGCACTTCTAAGTCGAGTAACTTCAGCTTGTTCAAGGCTATAAGACCCACAGAGAGAAGCTTTAGTGACGTTTTTCATAACTGTTATGTTATAGGCTGACTCTGCCATACGATCGCCCTCGAGAACCTGGCCCAGTGACAAACTCTTATGAACGACCTGCAATAGTTGTCCAATTCCCTTCTTAATTCCTTCAAACGCTAGACATCCTACAACTGACTACAGCAATTAAAAACACCTTGTCTTCATCCACTATTACTATATTTCTTGACTCAAAAATTAAGATCTCAGTAGAAAGTTCTCTTGTGCAGAACAAAAAAAAGTAATCTAATACTTAATAATTTTGGAAAATAATTCATTTGAAGTACAATGGTAATTTCAATATTATTATCTCAAGACCGTAACTTGTATGTATCCTATGAGTCAAACAAAAAATAACGAATGCTATTCAACGATAATAAATCAGAAAATAAACTTGTTGAAACGTACTCGTTTAGGGCGACAAAACGGAAGTGAATAGTAATGGTACGTTTCATAAGTATTTGCATATGGTCCAACTTTATTAACGTAGACATCTACCTGTAAGAAAAGCATAATTATTTTTTTTCTGATACACCGGGAAGAAGCAAAAGCGCACTTTCAAATAACCATCATCGTTTTTGAATCTTCATATGAAATAATGAAAAAAGCAAAAATACCACTTTTGCCAGTCATAAAAGGCAAAAATACTTGAAAGAGGAAATAAATTCTTATATTGATCAAATTTATTTTAATTCCTCTTCGAACTACCGCCCATAGCTAAAGCACCTTTCACAGTTGATGCTAAGGGTCATCATGACCAGACGCTTTAGACAAGAAATGTTGACAGTGTTTCTGCTGTCTGCATGTTTCGCATGTAACGGCTATGCAAATAAAATTTACAATACATTCAACCCGCCAGCATAAAACGTCGTCAACAGAAGTTGTGTTAGAAGAAGAAAAAAGCGTCTGCTTTCTTTCCCAGGTGTAGTTTTATAATGACACGTGTAAACTATTTTTGTTACACGTTAATCTAGTCCAATTTGCCAACAAGCAAAAGATGGCAGTAAATAAACTTTCAAACTATCTATATTCCTCAGCCGCCCAATATTCAGAAAAAAAAAAAAAAAAAAAAAAAAAAAA